GGGGGGGGGGGGGGATAGGGGCTGTTGTTGGTGGGTTTATATGGAGGTACAGAACGTGTAGTGCAACACTGGGGCAATGGCATTCCCGAAATATGCTTGAGGGAAATTCATGGGTTCTGGCTTCAAACGAACCTCTGCGTTGTGCTATTTCAGTTGGCTTTTGACGCGAGCCGGGAAGAGATGGTGTAACTTATTGTTCATGCAGTCTGTGATTTGAAGAATTCGATGTGGAATATGGGTTCATGGGATTTTTGATCATCAGTGGAATTCGCGGATTTCTGCGCAATCGATACTTGTTTTTTTAGGAATAGTTGGGTAAAATATAGTGTCTTGATTATAGATTTGTGAATTTTTAGACATTCGGGCTATGTTTTGGTTGGGCGTAGAGACATAAGTAGACGAAGGAACAGAATTTTTCAGGGGCTTCTGGTCATTTTTACGAGCAGAGGGAAAATAAATAAAATAATTGAAAATGCGGGGGAATTCCACATTCGATAAAATTTTGAGTCATGTTTTGACTCATCAACAGAGTTTTCTCCTGTCTTGAGGAAAATTAGAGTTCGTGTTAACGGAAAATTCAAAGGAATTCCCAATTTTTGAGCAACAAGAAGACGAGTACTCCCCAGCTTACTTGAATTTTCAATCAAAATATTAAAATTTAGTATCAAATTATACTAATTTTTCAATTAATTGAAAATTCAAGATTATATTTATCACAATATTCCTGATTGTTATTAATTTTCGCGGAATAGATGACCTATAATTTATCGTATCAATAATTTTCCATGAAATTTGGAATTCTCTATTACGCAATCCTCTGAAATTTCGATGAAATTTTGAGGAGAGTGACATTGAATTCGATTTAGGGGGGGAAAATCATGAAATTTCAGATTTGACGGAAAATTCAAAGGAATTCCAAATTTCTGAGTAACAGGAATACGAGTACGTCGCTATTTACTTGAATTTTCAATCAAAAAAGTAATATTCACTACCAAATTAAGCTAAATTTTCAATTAACTGACAATTTAAGAATATATTCATCTGAATGTTTCTGATTTTCATTAATTTTCATGGAGTAATTGACCTAAAAATTATAGTTTCAATAATTTTTCATGAATTTTGGAATTCTCTTTTACGCAATTCCTTCGAATTTCGTTGGAATTTTCACGAGAGTGATATTAAATTCGATTTATGGGAAAAATAATGAAATTGCAGATTTAACGGAAAATTCAATGAAATTCTACATTTTTTAGCAACAGGAATACGACTATTCTTCAACTCACTTCAATTTTTAATCAAAACATGAAACATTCAATGCTATATTTACTTGAATGTTCCTCATTACCAGTAATTTTAATGGAAGCAAATTATATTGCATCAGGAAGACGAGTATTCCTCAATTTACTTGAATTTTCAATCAAAACATTAAACTTCAAAAATACATTTACTTGAAAATTCATGATTTCTATTAATGTCAATAAAATAATTGACCTAAAATAGCTATGATGTGATAAAAATTTTCAAAAAGTTTACCGGAATTTAAGCCAAAACTTGATAACAGTGATCCGTAAAAAGGACTACCTATTAAATTTCCACTTCAGACCTATTATTTTCTTTCAAAGGTCAACCGCAATGGAGAAAAAGATAAATAACAAGGACGTAATTTTGCAATCAGCCAGGAATAGTATTGAACATGTCAATGCACTCTTGGACTCCAACGCCAATCCGTCGGACGATACGTCCCTATCGATCAGATTATCCATGATCAGAGTGAGTCATTCCAGTGTATTTAATTCAAATGTTTGGTTCATTCGATTTTCGCATCTGGTACTAATAATACATTTCCGCTTCCTGACGAGTTAACTGTGCCAAGACGTGAATAGCTGTTGCTTCTATTTTCCTCCAGTTATGAGAGCTTTTTATTGTATTTTTTATTTACGTGATTTACAGCATTGCTTTTTCTCTCTTGGAAAATTCAGTACGGTCTGAAAATTGCAAGTTTTATTAGTATCCTGGAGTTTATAATGGCCAAGTCATTTGAATTTTATCGGGCTTGCATTGTTGTATACCTTGAAAAAAATTTTTTACGCTCTCAGGCGAGGGAGGACGAACTCAGTGCTCAGAGGAATGAGCTGGAGAGCTTGAAGAGTCATTCACGTAATTCGGATGATGAACAGCAGTTGCAGGGGGTTTTGAGCGAAATTGCAACCGGCCAGAGCAGTTTGTCGAGCCATCGGGATTACGTTGAGAATAAATTAACTTCGATTAAGAAGTACATCAATTGTTTGGATAATATCATGGGGTGGGTCATGGAGACCAACACGAGGATAAATATCTCGAGAGAGTTGTCGCAAACTGAGAGGAATAAAGTGCTTGACATTATTATGGTGAGTTTGTAAATTTTAGTTGAGATGTACCGGAGTAATGATGCATTTGGATCACGTGAAACTTCATTCGAATCGTTTCTATTCATTCGAAGAATATTTTTCTCATTGGGAATTGATAAACTTGTAGATTTATTTCGATGAAATGTTTTAATTATCAAAAACAATTGATTCATTTATTCCAAGTGAAGGATCATTACATGGTAATAAAGTTGTTGTCATCTTCATCTAAAAAAAATCAATTTCTAACTAATAGACTCTTCATTTGGCTCAAAGCACCATTTGTTCAATTAAAAAACGAGTTTATGTTTGAATAAAAGTTTCATTTCGAATTATTTGAATCAACTAATTTATCTGATTGAAAAAGGAATTTTATTTATGGAAATCGTATCGTTTGATTATGAGATACTCATGATTTAACATTGTCAATTTCACCAATAATTATTATTTTATATTAATTAATTAATTAATTCAATTTTTCAATATTTTCGAATCGAATTTCCCATATAATTGAAGTTTGCTAATCTTTATTAAGAGATGAAAATTAACAGCACAACGAATAATTAAAATTGTGGATCGATCATCAAATGAAAAATTAATTGTTTTTACCAGTCTCGTTTATATTTGATTTAATATGATCAACTAATTTTGTATTTGGAAAACTAATCGTATTCGAACGTTACGATTATGCCGATGTCCGCTCACGTCTCCAATTGTCAATTATTAAATTCCAATGGCATTGAATACTCAGGTGGAAGTGAAGGATCGAGAGATGGAAGTAAAAGAGGTCCTCGAGAATTACACGAATCTGGAGAAGGAGTGTGAAGCTGCTAAGCAACCAGTCTCCGTAGAACTTCAGGTAAGCTTGTCGAGAAAAACAGAAGCAAAAAGAGAGAAACAATTGAGTGAAACAGTAATTGATTCGAACCTGCGATGAATTCTGTTGCAGGAAAAATTGAAAAAGTTACGTGAAGACTGGCAACACGTAAAGAATCGAGGTGAGCCTGTGGAAACTGAAGGCTCCAGTGCGATTCCAGTGAGGGCCAAGGGTGAGTCCAGTGATCAATATCATTGCATTTTATTTTCAACCACAATGAAAACAAAATCCACAGAAATCCCACAATGAAAAATGACCCCCGATAAAAATAGATCAACTTTCGATAGCATATCTGCAATCGAATGCAGAGACAGTCCCGGAAGAGTGAAAAATATTTTTTCTGCTCGAATAAAAGGTGAGGGGGGAGGGGGGGGGGGGGGAGTAAAAAGAGCAGGAAAAAATAGTCACCAGTACTCTTTTATTGAAAATCCCCGGGGCACTGTCTCAATCCCCCTTCAACAAGTGTTTGTCGACTGGGGAATAAGTGGAGAAAGATCCGCTGGAAAAAAGAAAANGGGGGGGGGGGGGGGGGGGAGTAAAAAGAGCAGGAAAAAATAGTCACCAGTACTCTTTTATTGAAAATCCCCGGGGCACTGTCTCAATCCCCCTTCAACAAGTGTTTGTCGACTGGGGAATAAGTGGAGAAAGATCCGCTGGAAAAAAGAAAATAGGAGGAAAAAAACGAACCCCGGGGTTCGGCAAATGTTTTTCTAAAATTCAATCTGTTCGAGTGTACCCAGTACACGCAACTGTGCAATCTCTATTCAGCCAGTTCCTATTTAAAAGCGTCGGAGGGAACAAATAGTTCAGCAGAAATGTGGGCCTTCAGTTGAAAAATTGGAGGGAAAAGTGAAAGAGTTATCGTAAAGAGTATGATTTTTCAGTTTGGGAAATTGGAAACGGAAAATCAATTGTTCGTTTTCCATTCCACGTTTGGGGATTACAACAATTGGTGATTTTCCTGTGAATGGGGAATCATTACAGGAGGTAAACGGGAATATTAAGGTGGGGGGATGAAAGCTGGAAAGCGTCTAGATTGGAGTTTCGATTGTTGAGCTATTAGGGAATTGCTCGTACTTCGATGATATCTGAAGTACTCTTGGGACCAATTTCTGGCTTCATTCAACCTCCAGTATTGTTTGGATATTAAGGTAGCGAAATGGTAAAAGGATTCAAGTCGACTTAGTTTTTAGATGAGTTTTCGAGGAATATTTCGAAGTCTAAGGGAGATAGTGAAATTTTTGTAATGACATTTTTGGTTGAGCCAATTCAGAGTTACGAAAAAGATTGTAACAAAAATTTTGCTACCTGGTCGAAATTTACCAATAGTCAAAATTTATGGGAGCTTCGTAATCGTTCAAATCTAACTTTCGGATTTTCTATATTATATCGACCCATTATGATTTAAAAAGTCCGACATTTTCTCAAATGTAGGTATTGTTGAGCCCCATCCATCGACATTAATTGAAGTTTAATTTATTTAATGCCCGGGTGGATTATCTTTAGAACGTGATCTTGGCTGTTTTTTTATTTTGATAATCTGAAATGATCTCCAGTTGCTATTCAGTTTTAGGGGAGGTTAGGGTAAAACGGACACTTTTGACTTTTTTTTAAATCTTAATGAGGGGTTGAAATGTTGATGAAATTAAAAAATTTTCTCTTCAATACAAAGAACAATTCTTTCCCTTTGTAACGAGCCTAAACTGAGCTCAATTGATAAATTTGTTTCTGAGTTATGAACAATTAAAAAAAAGTCTAAAGTGTCCATTTTATCCCACCGTCCTCTACATAGCCCTGGAGTCTCCAAAAATTATGATTGTACAATCAAAAAAACGTTGAAAAAAACGTTGAAAACGTTGAACATTTTCAAAGAGCGTTGGTGAATAATATTGGGAAATAAACCCAATAGCCGATTTCATAATTAGTATCTAATTGAAGCTACAGTATTCGGGTTTCCAATTTTGTTTGTCTGATCAAGTTATTCTTCATAGATTTGGAAATAATCAATTTTGAAAGCAAGCGTTCACATTCGCATGGGTCGATACCATGCATTGATGATTACTTTAATAATTAAAAGTTTAAGAGTGATATTAACTATTTGACGGCTTCCAAATTTAACGGTAATTATGATTTACGAATATGGCTACCCCTGCCTTTGGGTCGACAAGTTAAAAAGTATTCTGCGCGTTGAATCATCTCAATTTCTCCAAAAAAATGCGAGAATAAAATGAAATCCACCACCACCAATTTTGTGGCCTCCCGCCCTCCATTCACCCATCAAAAATCCCCCAAAAATCCTCTCCATAATGGCCGATTTCCAGTTTTGTTTGTCTGATCAAGTTATTTTTCATAGATTTCTAAATGATCAATTTAAAAAACAAGCGTTCACATCCGCATGGGTCGATACCATGGATCGACCCCGTACGTGAGGAATTAAATTGATCACTACTTGAATAATTAAAAGTTTAAGAGCGAGATGTGGTTGTAGGAAATTTTACGGAACTGTCACGGATTTTTTCCCGAGCGTTCCGTAATTTTTATCTGAATCTCCTGTGCAAAATTACGATACCGTCACTTAAATTTCCTGAGTCGATTCCGTAATCGATGAGCGAATTGTGAGTTCTAAAAACTATTCTTCGCGTTGAATCATCTCAATTTCTCCTAAAAAATGCGAGAATAAAATAAATTCCACCAGCACCAATTTTATGGCCTCCCGCCCTACACTCACCCATCCAAAATCCCCCAAAAATTTTCTCCATAATGTAAAAGAGTTCCTGTACATCGCCCCAACTCTAAACTCCGCGAGGCAGGATGTGGATTTAGCACCGGGGGGATGCAAACCAGCCAAGTAGAAAAGAGGATTAACGCTACTAGTATTGTGACGCTTCAAGTCCCCAACTTACTTCAAGTGATGTAATACGAATCTCAGTAAAGCCCAGGATCCAAGGATTCCGTTAATAAGCCTCAACAAATGATTACAATTGTTTGCCACGCAGAAACCTCCTCTCCCCAGTGATTCATCCCCAATGGAATATGCTGAACACGGAATTTCTGAGTTTTGCTGCGCCCATTGGTTTTTCGAGGGTGGAGTTTGTTGAAGTGAGTGTGAACCAGGAGATTTTTATGCTGGGCATGGTGATGACACAGTGCTCCCTGCAGCTGACCATTCTATTATATCACAGGCTCCACTTCCCATTAACTCTGTCATTGAACTTTTCTCATTTCATTTCACCATTTCTGCCTCATTCGTTTTTTTTACCCTCGTAAATTAACTATGAAATTGAATATTGATTTGACGGAGGGAGAAAAATTGAGGACATTATTGGAGTAAAAAAGGGCAGAGTAATCATTGGAAAATGAGCAATTTCAGGCTTTGATCAGTTACTACTGAATAATACTCACTTGAGTGTTCAACCTTTGTCATTTTCACAAATGAAACGTTGAAGCAACTCTGCATCGACTCATTCAATTCCAATGGCGAATCGATTTCGACACTCGAAGTGGATGCATTGAGAGGTGTAGCACCATGTAACACTAGACATTGAGCTGGGGATAATGGTGTACGTCCGCAACAAGGAATTGTAGATGGGTGAGAGACACGTACAATAAAAAAGAGGGGTTGAAAAATAGAGAGAGACAGAGAGAGAGAGAGAGGGGGAATTCAGTGGGGATGACAGACGTTGGACCCTGGCAACGATCGGACTAGGTGATGGAGAGCCGCAAGGGTCCTACAAAACCCACCCTTTTTCGCCCTCGTGTTGAGTGTGGAATGACGGAGTAGCTTCAGTGTGAAGGGTGGATACTAGCCACTCTAGTTAGCGTAGAAGTACTTGAAAAAAAAACCGTATTTTATTCGGAAAATCAATGGGATTTAAGAGAATATGCATGAATGAGTGCAGAGTAATTGTTAGAATTTCATAATCATTATGCATAATACGCTGTTACACATTTTTGGAAAATTTTAGTCTTGAAGTTATTTTCATAGTATTTTCACTTAAAATTCAAGGAATTTTGTCAGTTAAAATTGAAAACTTCAGGGAAAATTAATGGAAATTGTAAATTAAATGATGAATAATCAATTTTAGTTCAGTTATTTTACGAAAATTGATGGAGATTAGGAAAATTTACGTAAACATTCGTCAAATTTTTCTCACGCAATTTAATTGACAAATTTGATCTTTGATTGATTAAAAAATTCAAGTAAGTCGAAGAATTTTCGTCTTCTTCAGAGTGAAATCTGAAATTTCATAATTTTTTCCTCCTAAATCGAATTTAATATCACTCTCCGGAAATTGAATAGTCAATTGTCCAAGAAATTTCAATTCTCTTTCTCACAGCGTAGCCTAGATGCTGGACAGAATTATCTATCAATAATAAAACAAAAAGAACAGGAATGCCCCCCAAAAATTCCCCCTACTGGAATTTTTATTTTTCAGTTATTTTTTATTTTCGCTCAAAGAAAAACAACTTACTCCTCGGTTTTTTCTCCAGTTTCATATTTTGTCCTCGTTTATTCTCCGCTCTCACTGTCGCCCTCTTATTATTACGTTTTATGGAGACTGATGAAAGACTCGCATCATTTCACACACGAATACTTCCCCAGTTCCACTGTTTCATTTTCCTACCCTTTGAGAATTCTCTCTCCCCCCCCCCCTTTCATTTCTTCTTTTTAACGAAAAAAGAAAAAATTCAACTCAAGTCTCCGAGTCGGTGGTCTTCCCGTCTATTCACTCAGGCATTTTCTCATATTCCAAGTTTTAACGACGACCCACTGGGTCTACCAAGCGAGCCAAAGTTGTAACCTACCTCAACTTTTCGCCCCCTTGTGACTGCATTGTCCTCATAAAACTGTCCGGAGGTATTATCAACTGTTTGTCATTGAAAAGTCCGTGTTTATTCGTCTGTTTATTGAGAGTGAATACACTTATTCTTCCATAAAAAAAAGTCAAAAATAAATGCGGTGAAGTATAAAATTCCATATATCAAGTAGAGCCATAAAACAATGTCATGGGTGGACGAAAGAATTTCCTCATTCTGCGCCTCCATTTTTCTCTCGTATTTTTTCCCTGGAAAATTTAATGGATCTGGGTAAATCTCGCAAGACATAAAACTGGTAAATACCAACATTAATTGGATTAACATTGCCTGTTACATTTTTCATCAGCAGGTAGA